CAAAATGTTCTTATTTAAGAAATCTTAGCTTTGTTTTGTTTTGTTTTTTTTTTAAAGTTTTTCATTATTTATTTATTTATTATTTATTTATTATTAGTGGGGTTTGAGAAAGATTAACCCAAAATGTATGTGTTGTTTTAGTTTTTAGCAGTTTGGAGTGAGTTATTAAATAATATTTAGGTGTTCCCTTTGTAAATGATGTACGATCATTTTGATCTCCAACTTCTCTTACAAACATAATTACTTGATCATCAATGTCGACAAGTATTGAGAAATCCAAAGTCTTTTTTTTTTTTTTGTTTTTGTTTTTGTTTTGTTTGTTGAGAAGTAAAGGAAAATTAAAAATGGAAAGGAAATATTTCAATAATAATATTTTTACATCATCGAATAGTAAAGGTATATTTTAAAAAATAGTATAGGTAAATTAAAAATGGAACGAAAATATTTCATTAATAATATTCTACATCATCAAATTAAAATGGAACAAAAATTAAGTAAAAACATCACCGCATCTATATTATAATTGACTAATTGACTGAAAATAAAAAAGAATAATTGATTGGAAATGAATCTAATATTACTAATTGACTGAAAATATAAAAAGAAATGAATATTAATAATTGATTGCAAATAAAAAATGATCCATAATTGACTAAAAAAAAAATGGTCAGATCATTGTATTTTAATTAAAAATTGAAGGAAAATATTTCAATAATAATATTCAACATTATCAATAGTGAATGCATATTTTAAACAATAGTAAAGGTAAATTAAAAATGAAATGGAAATATTTCAATAATAATATCTACATCATCAAATCAAAATGGAATGAAAATTAGGTAAAAATATCATTGCATTTGATATTCTAATTGACTAATTGACTGAAAATATATAAAAAAAAAAAATAAATTATTGGCTAAAAATGAATCTGATATTACTAATTAACTGAAAATATAAAAGAATAACTAATTAAGTGATATTCTACCATTATATATTTTCACACAGGTAACCTGTCTTGATGGATTGAAAGTGTTAGCTCTAGACGAAGATGAACAAGATTGTGTTGTCACTGCCAATGTCGTCTACAAAGAGGTTTCAATAATGTGTAAATATAATCGGTGATATTAAGTTTTTTTTTTTTTAATGAAAAAAATGCTATATATCTTGATAATATATATATATATATATATATATATATATATATATATATATATATATATATATATATATACATATATATATATATATATATATATATATATATATATATACATATATATATATATATATATATATATATATATATATATATATATATATATATATATATATATATATATATATATATATATATATATATATATATATATCTTCCATACAAGTGAATAAGGATAACAATTCATTTCTATAACTGAGTTGTTAGATAACGAGCACATTTGCCTAATTTATGAAAATACTAAATAATGATAAATAAAATCTTCAAAATATAGTACCGCATGCGTGCATCTAAATGTAGCTATTAATTTGAGCAATTATTTGCACAAATTCAAGCAATGATAACATCAAAATATATAAACGATCCAAATCAAATCTTTAATTGTACTATAATATATTTGATATTCTAATTTAAAAAATTATATATTGATTCATACATTATTAATATATTACAATAAATCCATTCCGTGCATCGCACGGGTGAAAATACTAGTATTAACAAATTAGAATTTTATAACCATGACAGTTGTTATGTATTTTTACTTTCAATTGAAATTGTCTTGTTTAAAATCAAGACTCCAGGGCCCAATGGAAAAGGTGCTGGTCTATGAAACCAGGTATTCTGGTTTTGATCCACAGTGGATTCGTATTGCCCAAAAATATTACATGTCATATGGGAACATAATTTCATATTTCAAGATGAAGATGAAAATTACGTAAGATATTGAACAACCGTGAAAATAAATGTTCACAATTTACATTTTAAAAACTCACAATTTGTATACTACGAACACAAAATGTTAACATATTTACAATTGATTGCTTTGTTTTGTATTCACAAGTTTCTTTCAAATATTTTAGTAACATAATATTAACAAATTAGGATTTTATAACCATGACAGTTGTTATGAATTTTTACTTTCGATTGAAATTGTCTTGTTTAAAATCAAGACTCCAGGGCCCAATGGATAAGGTGCTGGTCTATGAAACCAGGAATTCTGAGTTTGATCCACAGTGGATTCGTATTGCCCAAAAACATTACATGTCATATGGGAACATAATTTCATATTTCAAGATGAAGATGAAAATTACGTAAGATATTGAACAACCGTGAAAATAAATGTTCACAATTTATATTTTAAAAACTCACAATTTGTATACTACGAACACAAAATGTTAACATATATGCAATTGATTGCTTTGTTTTGTATTCACAAGTTTCTTTCAAATATTGTGGTAATACAATATTAACAAATTAGGATTTTATAACCATGACAGTTGTTATGCATTTTTACTTTCAATTGAAATTGTCTTGTTTAAAATCAAGACTACAGGGCCCAATGGATAAGGTGCTGGTTTATGAAACCAGGTACTCTGGGTTCGATCCACAGTGGATTCGTATTGCCCAAAAACATTACATGTCATATGGGAACATAATTTCATATTTCAAGATGAAGATGAAAATTACGTAAGATATTGAACAACTGTGAAAATAAATGTTCACAATTTATATTTTAAAAACTCACAATTTGTATACTACGAACACAAAATGTTAACATATATGCAATTGATTGCTTTGTTTTGTATTCACGAGTTTCTTTCAAATATTGTAGTAACACAATATTAACAAATTAGGATTTTATAACCATGACAGTTGTTATGCATTTTTACTTTCGATTGAAATTGTCTTGTTTAAAATCAAGACTCCATGGCCCAATGGATATGGTGCTGCACTACGAAACCAGAGATTCTGGGTGGCAAATAATTTCATATCATATGGGCACATAATTTCATATTTCAAGATGAAAATTACGTAGGATATTGAACAACTGTGAAAATTAAAATTCAAAACTACGTCGCTTAGGACATATGGACTCGGGTATACATTGCAAGGTAGATTCATATCGAAATGTTCACAATTTTCATTTTAAAACTCACAATTTGTATACTACGAACACAGAATGTTAACATATTTGCAATTGATTGCTTTGTTTTGTATTCACAAGTGTCTTTCAAATATTGTACTAACACAATATTAACAAATTAGGATTTTATAACCATGACAGTTGTTATGCATTTTTACTTTGGATTGAAATTGTTTTGTTTAAAATCAAGATTCCATGGCCCAATGGATAAGGTGCTGGTCTACGAAACAAGATATTTTGGGTTCGACGATCCCCAGTGGGGTCGTATTGCCCAAAAATATTATATGTCATATGGGCACATAATTACGTAGGATATTGAACAACCGTGAAAATTAAAATTCAAAACTACGTCGCTAAGGACATATGGACTTGGGTCTACATTGCAAGGTAGATTCGTATCGAAATTTACATTTTAAAAACTCACAATTTGTATACTACGAACACAAAATGTTAACATATATGAAATTGATTCCTTTGCTTTTTATTCACAAGTTTCTTTCAAATATTGTACTAACACAATATTAACAAATTAGGATTTTATAACCATGACAGTTGTTATGCATTTTTACTTTCGATTGAAATTGTCTTGTTTAAAATCAAGACTCCATGGTCCAATGGATAAGGTGCTGGTCTACGAAACCAGAGATTCTGGGAGGCACATAATTATATGTCATATGGGCACATAATTTCATATTTCAAGGTGAAAATTACGTAAGATATTGAATAACCGAGAAAATTAAAATTCAAAACTACGTCGCTTAGGACATATTGACTCGGGTCTACCTTGCAAGGTAGATTCGTATCGAAATGTTCACAATTTACATTTTAAAAACTCACAACAGAAAATGTTAACATATATGCATTTGATTGCTTTGTTTTGTATTCACAAGTTTCTTTCAAATATTGTTTTAACACAATATTAACAAATTAGGATTGTATAACCATGACAGTTGTTATGCATTTTTACTTTCGATTGAAATTGTCTTGTTTAAAATCAGGACTCCATGGCCCAATGGATAAGGTGCTAGTTTATGAAACTAGATATGTTGGGTTCGATCCCCAGTGGAGTAGTATTGCCAAAAAAACATTATATTTCATATGGGCACATAATTTCATATTTCAAGATGAAGATGAAAATTACGTAAGATATTGAACAACCGTGAAAATTAAAATTCAAAACTACGTCGCTTAGGACATATGGACTTGGGTCTACATTGCAGGGTAGATTCGTATCGAAATTTCCACAATTTACATTTTAAAAACTCACAATTTGTATACTACGAACACAAAATGTGCAATTGATTGCTTTGTTTTGTATTCACAAGTTTCTTTCAAATATTGTAGTAACACAATATTAACAAATAAGGATTTTATAACCATGACAGTTGTTATGCATTTTTACTTTCGATTGAAATTGTCTTGTTTAAAATCAAGACTCCATGGCCCAATGGATAAGGTGCTGGTCTATGAATCCAGAGATTCTGCGTTCGATCACTAGTTGATTCGTATTGCCCAAAAACATTATATGCCATATGGGCACGTAATTTCATATTTCAAGATTAAATTACGTAAGATATTGAACAACCGTGAAAATTAAAATTCAAAACTATGTCGCTTAGGACATATGGATTCGGGATTAAATTGCAAGGTAGATTCGTATCGAAATGTTCACAATTTACATTTTGAAAACTCACAATTTGTATACTACGAACACAAAATGTGCAATTGATTGCTTTGTTTTGTATTCACATGTTTCTTTAAAATATTGTCGTAACACAATATTAACAAATTAGGATTTTATAACCATAACAGTTGTTATGCATTTTTACTTTCGATTGAAATTGTCTTGTTTAGAATCAAGACTCCATGGCCCATTGGATATGGTGCTGGTCTATGAAACCAGGGATTTTGGGTTCGATCCCCAGTGGAGTCGTATTGCCTAAAAACATTATATGTCATATGGGCGCTTTCATATTTCAAGATGAAAATTACGTAAGATATTGAACAACCGTGAAAATTAAAATTGAAAACTACATCGCGTCGGACATGGGTCTACATTGCAAGGTAGATTCGTATCGAAATGTTCACAATTTACATTTTGCTTTGTTTTTTATTCACAAGTTTCTTTCAAATATTGTAGTTACACAATATTAACAAATTAGGATTTTATAACCATGACAGTTGTTATGTATTTTTACTTTCGATTGAAATTGTTTAGTTTAAAATCAAGACACCATGGCCCAATGGATAAGGTGCTGGTCTATGAAACCAGAGATTCTTGGTTCGATCCGCAGTGGAGTCGTATTGCCCAAAAACATTATATATCATATGGGCACATAATTTCATATTTCAAAATGAAAATTACGTAAGCTATTGAACAACCGTGAAAATTAAAATTGGACTTGGGTCTACATTGCAAGGTAGAGTCGTATCGAATAACATATATGCAATTGATTGCTTTATTTTGTATTCACAAGTTTCTTTCAAATATTGTAGTAACACAATATTAACAAATTTGGATTTTATAACCATGACAGTTGTTATGCACTTTTACTTTTGATTGAAATTGTCTTGTTTAAAATTAAGACTCCATGGCCCAATGGATAAGGTGCTGGTTTACGGAACCAGAGATTCTGGGTTCGATCCCCAGTGGAGGCGTATTGCCTAAAAACATTATATGTCATATTGGCACATAATTTCATATTTCAAGATGAAAATTACGTAAGATATTGAACAACCGTGAAAATTAAAATTGGACTCGGGTCTACATTGCAAGGTAGAGTCGTATCGAAGAACAAAAAAAGTTACCATATATGCAATTGATTGCTTTATTTTGTATTCACAAGTTTCTTTCAAATATTGTAGTAACACAATATTAACAAATTAGGATTTTATAATCATGACAGTTGTTATTCATTTTTACTTTCGATTGAAATTGTCTTGTTTTAAATCTAGACTCCATGGCCCAATGGATAAGGTACTAGTCTACGAAATCGGGAATCCTGGGTTCGATCCCCAATGGAGTTGTATTGCCCAAAAACATTATATGTCATATGCGCACATAAACTGTGTCGTAAAATGATTGAATAACAAATTATTGTATCGATACGGGTTTATATTGCAAGGTGGATCTGTATCCAAATGTTCACAATTTATCTTTTAAAAATTAACAATTTGTATACAACGAACACAAAATGTTAGCATATATACAATTTTTTGCCTTGTTTTGTATTCACAAGTTTTTTTAAAAATATTGTAGTAACACATTATTAACAAATTTGGATTTGATAACCATGACAGTTGTTATGTTTTTTTTACTTTTTATTGAAGTTGTCTTGTTTAAAATCAAGATTCCATGGCACAATAGATAAGGTGCTAGTTTACAGAACCAGATATTCTGGGTTCAATCCCCTGTGGAGTCGTATTGCCAAAAAACATTATATGTTATATGGAGTAAGGTATTGAACAATCGTGAAAATTAAAATTCAAAACTACGTCGTTTAGGACACATGGACTCGGGTCTACATTGCATGTTCAAAATTTACCTTTTAAAAACTCACAATTTGTATATTACGAACACAAAATTTTAACAAATATGCAATTGATTGCCTTTTTTTGTATTCACAAGTTTCTTTCAAATATTGTAGTAACACAATATTAACAAATTAGGATTTTATAACCATGACAGTTGTTATGCATTTTTACTTACGATTGAAATTGTCTTGTTTAAAATCAAGATTCCATGACCCAATGGATAAGGTGCTGGACTATGAATCTAGAGATTATGGGTACAATCACTAGTGGAGTTGTATTGCCGAAAAACATTATATGTCATGTAGGCACATAATTTCATATTTCAAGATGAAAATTACGTAATTGCCGAAAAACATTATATGTCATGTAGGCACATAATTTCATATTTCAAGATGAAAATTACGTAATTGCCAAAAAACATTATATGTCATGTAGGCACATAATTTCATCTTGATTCATATTTCAAGATGAAAATTATGTAATTGCCTAAAAACATTATATGTCATGTAGGCACATAATTTTTATATTTCAAGATGAAAATTACGTAATTGCCAAAAAACATTATATGTCATGTAGGCACATAATTTCATATTTCAAGATGAAAATTACGTAAGATATTGAACAACCGTGAAAATTAAAATTTAAAACTACGTCGCTTAGGACACATGGATTCAGGTCTACATTGCAAGGTGGATTCGTGTCGAAATGTTCAAAATTTGCCTTTTAAAAACTCACAATTTATATACTACGAACACAAAATGTTAATATATATGCAATTGATTGCCTTGTTTTGTATTCACAAGTTTCTTTCAAATATTGTAGTAACACAATATTAACAAATTAGGATTTTATAACCATGACAGTTGTTATGCATTTTTACTTTCGATTGAAATTATCTTGTTTAAAATCAAGATTCCATGGCCCAATGGATAAGGTGTTGGACTATGAATCTAGAGATTTTGGGTTCAATCCCAAGTGGAGTCGTATTGCCTAAAAACATTATGTCATTTAGACACATAATTTCTTAATTACGTAAGATATTGAACAACCGTCAAAATTAAAATAAAATTCAAAACTATGTTTAGGACACATGGACTCAGGTCTACATTGCATGGTGGAACTGCGTACAAAAGTTCACAATTTACCTTTTCAAAATTCAAAAAAAGGATTGAGAATAACAATTTATTGTATGGATACGGGTTTACATTACAAGGTGGATCTGCATCAAAATATTCATAATTTACAGACTAAATGTTCACAATTTACCTTTTAAAAATTCACAATTTGTATACAACGAACACAAAATGTTAGCATATATAAAATTGATTGCCTTATTTTGTATTCACAAGTTTCTTTCAAAAATATTGTAGTAACACAATATTAACAAATTAGGATTTGATAACCATGACAGTTGTTATGCTTTTTTACTTTTGATTGAAGTTGTCATGTTTAAAATCAAGACTCCATGGCCCAATGGATAAGGTGCTGGTCTACGAAACCAAAGATTCTGAGATCGATACCCAGTGGAGTCGTATTGCCAAAAAAACATTATATGTCATATAGGCACATAATTTCATATTTCATGGTGAAAATTACAATTCAAAACTACGTCGTTTAGGACATATGGACTCGGGTCTAAATGATTGAGAATAGAAATTATTGCATCGAAATATTCACAATTTACTTTTTAAAAACTCACAATTTGTATACTACGAACACAAAATGTTAACATATACGCAATTGATTACCTTATTTTGTATTCACAAGTTTCTTTCAAATATTGTAGTGACACAATATTAACAAATTAGGATTTTATAACCATGACCGTTGTTATGTATTTTTACTTTCGATTAAAATTGCCTTATTTAAAATCAAAATTCCATGGCCCAATGGATAAGGTGTTGGTCTACGGAACCAGAGATTCTAGGTTCGATCCCCAGTGGAGTCGTATTGCCCAAAAACATTATATGTCATATAAGCACATAATTTCATATTTCATGGTGAAAATTACAATTCAAAACTAATAGCAAATTATTGTATGGATACGGGTTTACATTGCAAGGTGGATATACATCAAAATGTTCACAATTTACCTTTTAAAAATTCACAATTTGTATACAACAAACACAAAATGTTAACATATATGCAATTGATTGCATTGTTTTGTATTCACAAGTTTATTTCAAATATTGTAGTAACACAATATTAAAAAATTAGGATTTGATAACCATGACAGTTGTTATGCTCTTTTACTTTTGATTGAAATTGTCTTATTTAAAATCAAGACTTCATGGCCCAATGGATAAGGTGCTAGTCTACGAAACTAGAGATTCTGGGTTTGATCCCTAGTGGAGTTGTATTATCGAAAAATAATATATGTCATACAGGCACATAATTTCATATTTCAAGTTGAAAATTACGTAAGATAGTGAACAACCGCAGGTGGAACTGCGTCCAAAAGTTCACAATTTACCTTTTAAAAATTCGAAAAAATGATTGAGAATGGAAAATTATTCTATGGATCCGCGTCCAAATGTTCATAATTTACATTCTAAATATTCAAAATTTACCATTTAAAAATTCACAATTTGTATACTAAAAACACACAATGTTAACATATATGCAATTCATTTCCTTGTTATGTATTCACAAGTTCATTTCAAATATTGTAGTCACACAATATTAAAAAATTAGGATTTAATAACCATGACAGTTGTTATGCATTTTTACTTTCGATTGAAATTGTCTTGTTTAAAATCAAGACTCCATGGCCCAAAGGATAAGGTGCTGGTCTACGAAACCAGACATTCTGGGTTTGATCCCCAGTGGGGTCGTATTGCCTAAAAATATTATGTCATATAGGTAGATAATTTCATAATTACTTAAGATATTGAACAATCGTCAAAATTAAAATTCAAAACTACGTCGTTTAGGACACATGGCCTCGGGTCTACATTGCATGGTGGAACTGTTTACAAAAGTTCACAATTTACCTTTTAAAAATTCAAAAAAAAAATGATTGAGAATAGCAAATTTTTGTATGGATACGGGTTTACATTGCAAGGTTGATCTGCGTCCAAATGTTCATAATTTATAGACTAAATGTTCATAATTTACCTTTTAAAAATTCACAATTTGAATACAACGAACAAAAAATGTTAACATATATGCAATTGATTGCCTTGTATTGTATTCACAACTTTCTTTCAAATATTGTAGTTACACAATATTAACAAATTAGGATTTGATAACCATGACAGTTGTTATACTTTTTTACTTTGATTGAAATTGTCTTGTTTAAAATCATGACTCCATGGCCTAATGGATAAGGTGCTGGTCTACGGAACTAGATATTCTAGGTTTGATCCCCAATGGAATTGTATTGCCGAAAAACATTAT